GAGTAATTGTATTTCAAGTTCCTCGACAGCATTGTAGAAGACAAAATTTTCCAGGGTTTTTGATTCCACGTAGTTTTTCTTCCGGATGGTAAATGTAACGTTTATTTTTATCAAACTACTCACAATACTTGATATACTAAGTTTTATTATTTCAGCTTCAACAACTACATCAACAGTAACTAGCACAGGTAAGAAAAAGATCGTAAACAATAGCAACCCTTCATAAGAAAATAACAAAACATGCTATTCTTCTTCTTTTCTATGAAGCAATAACTAGCACAACAACGGGTAAGTTGAAATGTTCTCTGCTTTTCAAATGCATGAAGACACTGCTAAATTCATCTCACACCTTTTAACTACACTACTGACTCTTATGAAGATTCGTCTTTTCCAAAACAAGCTCGTAATAAATTAGCTTTTCTGCCAAAACAGCGTTTTCAGTCGATTTGTAAAAATCAAGGAAGCAGGAGTGGTGTCAGGAGCCATAGAATTCTATTCGCACTAAAAGAGATCTTCATCTGCACATCTTTTAGTAAAAAATAAACTACGCGTGCTATATAAATAGCCAGCAAAAGGAATTAAAGTGAACACGGGATTAGAGCAGGCGAGAGATCGTTGATAAATATGGGCACCATTTCAGAAGCGGATCAGAAATCTGTTTTGTTACAAGTTTTTCATAGTACGAGGAACTTTACCAGAACCTTTCCGATAGTCAGATGGTAATCCTACTTGCTTTTCATGATTCCTCTCACCAGGGGAAAATTCGAAGGTTTAGGCGTTATTCTCCTTTCCTATGCACGGCGGAGTCTTCATGTGTACATATTCAGATGCAGAATGAAATTCTGCATGGATTGGCTCATACCTACCCGTACCTACCCACACCTAACCGTACCTACCAATACTTATGCATATAATCTTACGTAAGATTTCAAAATTGATCTAAGTTACATTATTTGATTGCCACCTCATGTATAATTACGGGTTGTTGCAACCTCAAAATCGCGTAACTACCCACACCTACCCGTACCTACGCATACCTACCCTTACCTACCCGTACCTACCCATACCTACCCATTCCTACTCATACTTGCCCGTGCCAACCCATACCTACCCGCACGTACGCATACCTATCCCTTACCTAGCCGTACGTAATCATACCTACTCATACCTAGGATAAGTGGGTACGGGTAGGTATGAGTAGGTATGGGTAGGTATGGGTAGTTATCTACAGTTTGGGTTATATAATTTGAGGTTGCGGCAAGGCCAAACTATCCATCCTATGTCGACTGCTTGTCCGCGCAACTCCGCTGACAGAGATGTCACAGCGTCCCCTATTTTGCTCGTTTTGTTTGAAGCATAGCTCCGTTACGAAACGTCCTAGAGAGCTCGTGAACATCTCAAAGTGAAAAAAAATTGTTTCAAAGATTTTGGAATTTATCTGCCCGCTGGAAAATGTTTCTTGACAATCTAGATACAAAATGGTGAGATCTACTTTTTACAAAGAAAAACAGAAATGTAGCGCTCCACATTTTCATCACGGTTTTTGGAAGGAACACTTTCCAGGGGCGGACTGATCTCAAAATCTTTAAAACAATTTTTTCTTCAATTTGAGATATTCCCGAGCTCTATACGATGTTTTGTTCTGTAGCTTTGCTCAAAAGAAAATCAGTAAAAAAGGTAACGCTTCGAGGCTGGTAAAGAAAGTTTCAAAAAATTATTTTAAGGGCTCAAACTGCACTAGAATGAAAATTGTTAATTTTCTCAGACACAGTTGGTTCAATATAACTTGGAGGTATATGTCACTTAATGTGCTCTGTCGAACTGCTTAACAATGAGAGTTCCAACTTTAATTTTGAATTTTTTATAAGTTTTTTATATAGAGGATCTAACTCGTATGAGATTCGTACTATTTCTTTGCTCAACAATCACAAGTCTGTTCATCGAAAGCACTTGAGGGAATATACAACTTGATGCGCTCTATACAGTCGAATAGTTATGATACACTTCTCTTAATTGGTGACTTCAATATTTATTGCGTAGAATGGTGTAACACTCACAAAAAACCGATTTTCGAGATATTCGTAGTGTACGCAACATAGCGGTAGAATTCTTTAACTGGAAAATCTTGATATAGTGACTTTACGTAGGTTTGAAACTAATAGATAAACATCACTGCTCTACTCAACGTGGCCGATTACCCCAATGTTGATCCACTATAGAATCGCACAAGGGCAACTGGCCGGAATCTGGGCTCTTGGAAAGATGCTCATAGCACCTGACTGGTTAGGGATAGAGAGTTAAGACTGATCTGGAATTATAAATCTCGGTTCAGGCTATCGATTGCAGTTTGAAAATCAGAATCCAGTGTATGCTGCAGGAACGGCAACAACATTTTGATGAACGGCGGTCTCGTAGACTTTGCATCAAAATGCATACCATGGGAAACCTGACCTGGAAGCCTAGTTTTACATACGCTTAGGTCCTCGGATATTCTCTATTCAACGGTGAGAACCGCATGTCTGTGTCACTTTTCGTTCAAATGTGATGGGTATTGTGTGCGAGCCGCCTCATTTTCAGAATAGGATAATAATTTCAATTTCAATGACTAGAATCCAAATGGTGAACATTCTTCAGCTATCAGCAAGAGCATACAATTCTGCACTAGCTAAGCTGCTTAAACTGGCGAGTTTCTGCTCGTGAGAAGTAATTGAGCAAACTGTTTCCAATAAACATGCATAATCACTGGTGGCAAAATTTTAGCTTCGATATGGGCTCTCCTGACAAGGTATTTTATCCATTACTGCTAACGGAAGAAAACTTACCTATATTTCGGCAGACAATTTTAACTGAGCATTTACACAGATAATCGAAAGCTGTCTCCTGTATTCCATCTGGCTGGATAAGTTAGAATCAAAATGTGAATCCAATGTAGAATAAAAATCTAACTAAAATCATAAAGCTTCATCATTTATATTGACAGTTCCTTTTTCAAGTCGCTAATTTTTTCTTGAGTTCTTTTAGTCGACCCCTATTGTGCTGCCTCGTCTACAGGTAATCATCGAGCTAATCACAAATGTCTTTTTGATGTATATCTAAACTTGTATGAGTGTGCGTTTGTTTAGCTTCTATTTCATGTTTATCAACAATACCTTGTCCTGTTGGTCCATCATGGTCGCAAAATCCTTATGCTATTGTGACTGGTTTAACCGATAATTACCAAATTGCTGTTGATTCAGTTGGGAATTTCTATGTGGTTTTAAATGCAGGAGGGCAAGTATTACAATTTACACCGGCAAGTAAATCAAGTTCATCAGTAATTGCAGGTGGCTTAACGACGCCTTTATACGCTCTTTTTCTTGATCAAAGCGATCTTCTATACTTTTCTGTTGCCGGAAGCAATCAAGTATACAGCTATTTCGATGGAGTAAACATTGTAGTTGCTGGCGACGGTACGGCGGGTACTGGTGAAAACCAGTTACATGGTCCACAAGGATTTTTCGTCGATTGTAGTGGTAATCTTTATATTAGTGACAGTGGCAATAATCGTGTTCAGCGATACAGCAGTAGTAATCCAACAAGTGGATGCACAGTTGCTGGTGATGCTTATAGTAATAGTGGTAACAGTTTAAGTAATTTCAATATTCCAATTGACACAAAATTTGATGCATCTGGAAATATGATTGTTCTTGATTCTTTTAATTACCGTATGCTAAGTTTTGCATCTGGCTCAAGAACGGGAACACTTACTGCTGGCGATGGCACTGCTGGGACAAGTTCTGGTCAAGCAGCAGGCACTACATATGCACAAATGATACAGTCCCAAACAATTTACATTGATGGTTGTGCGAATGTGTATGTAGCAGACTCTGGTGGTGAAGGTGTCGTTAAATATACAAGTTCATCAACAGCTGGTACAGTGATTGTAACTGGTGCCAGTTCAGCAGCACCACAAGCAGACGGATTAACATTTGATCCACTAGGTAATCTATATGTAAGCGAGCGTAATACTGGAATCAATAAATTTGCAAGTATGTACAGATATCATCTGTTGTTTGATTTCTATTAAAATCTAAGCGGTGTTTCGAAACGATTAATTTCCTTTCGAGTCGAATGGATTTGTTATAATTTTGAAGTTCTCAGTAAATGATGCATACTGATAGATTTTTTGCAGTATACCTTTTTGCTATTTCTATTACAGTGATACCATATTGTGATCCGGGTAGCAGTGGAGGTACTTATAAATAGCTTTAAGAGTGAACAGATCTCTCGTATCTTGATCTATTTCAGTTCTAGCTGTAACGTCATGTTTGTCGTCATCTTGTATAACTGCATCCTCATACACCGCAGTCGGTACAGTCACCAGTACTAGTGTCATTCCTTATGGTATAGCTATCGACTCTTCTGAAAATGTTTATGTTACCGATGGGAGCACTAATAGCATTATTAAATTTGTATCTGGAACTCCAACAACAGTTGCAAGTGGTACTACTCCACTGGGTGTCTTTGTTGATTCGAGTAATAATATTTATATGTCGCACTCCCTAACGACGATAGAAAAATGGTTGCCTGCCGATCCACCATCAGGTGGCACAATTGTGGCCGGAAATAATGGTCAAGGTAATGCACAAAATCAATTAAATGCACCAGTAAACTTTTTTGTTGATTGTTCTGGTAATCTATTTATTGCTGATTCTTCAAACAGTCGTGTTCAACGATGGACGCCCGGTGCTTCATCAGGATGTACAATGGCGGGTGAAAGAAACGGTGTCAATGGTAGTGCATCTTATTTATTATCTCTTAGTCTTGATGTGAAGTTCACACAATCGGGCAATATGTTTGTCATTGATCAACTCAATCACCGCATACAAAAATTCTTGCCTGGTTTTACATACGGCGTTACAGTTGCCGAAAGTTTGCCTTTGCCATACGCATTGGCTGTAGATAATTGTGAAAATATTTATGTTAGCGATCAAACTAATGGTGTTTATAAATTCACCAGCGGCTCAACGACCGGTACACTGATAATTTCTGTTACAGGAGGATCACGTGGAATAGCACTAAATCCTGTCAATGGTAATCTTTATGTAATTTTTAAAAGTGATGGACTAGTTCATAAATATACAGTATGATGAGGAAGCAAAAGCCGCGTGTCAGCAATATTGATTTTCCATTTGCCAGACAGCTATACTTTTACTTCCTTTTAACTATACTTGAGACGTTTGGTTTCACTATCCGAGCACTTAATAACTTTTTAATTTTCTTTAGAGAGGTTGTTTAAAGTCATTATAACATTCTTATTATTGTACGTTTTTCTTTTAAACCGATTCTCTTTCCCCACGTTTTAAGAATATATTGTTCCTTTCCAGCTGATAGGTAGTAGTCATAGAAGAGAAAACCATTCTGCTCTGATAAAACGTCATGTCTATCGTCCAAAAACATTTATGAATTAAAAGTGTAATATAACTAACTCATTCCGTGAAGTATGCCAATCAGAACTTTAACCATCATGGTTAAAACTTCTAAAAGTACGCATAGTGTGACTTCCTCGATGGAGGTGCTTGCTGTTAATATACGGAATGTAATTGCTAATGCCTATAAAGATCTTATACTCGAGTGATGAATTTCGATTTTCTATCCGCTCAAACTCAACTTTTATTTATTACTGTCACAGAGACTTGGCTTGATAGCTCCATACCAAAAGAAGATATTCGCATAATTGGATATAAATTAGAGAGAGTAGATCGACAGAGAAGGCCGACGATGCTTGCTTTATTATCATGATTATTTGCCTGCACGATGTATTCCACCACAAGATGACAACAATTTTGAGATAATATTTTTCGAAGCAATTTTACTAAAGGTCAGTAGAAGTCTATTATCAGTAAACTACTGTTCTCCCAGTATGACTAATGATAAAACTGACTCATATATTCATCTTCTCTGTGAAACTATTTATGAAGTATTACAGTCGAATAGTTATGACGCACTTCTCCTAATTGGTGACTTCAATGCTCATTGCGTAGTATGGTGTAACACTCACAAAACAACCGTAGCAGGAAGTTTCTTGATTTTTGTGAATCGCTTAACTTTAAACAAACGATTAATAAACCGACGCTTTTTAGCAACAATGATCAAACACAAAAAGCAGTAGACGTTGTTTTCACCGATTCAGTTATTTTCATACAAAGTGTGTAAGTGAATGACCGCTTGGATGGGAGTTGTGATCATAAAATCGTGAGAGTTAACTTGATAACTGTGCGAAAGAAATCAGCTTCAGTGACCAGAAAGATCTACCATTATTCAGCTACAGATTGGGACTTTCTTCGCTACATTCTAATGCAGTTATCTAATACAGTTGCCATTATATTCTATAACTCTACTAATCAAAAAATCAGCATTTTTGCAAAGCGTGTAGCATTTTTGAGAAAGACTTTGAGAATGAGAAAGAAAAATATTTAGAACGAATTAGAAAACAAATGCATCAAGTAAATCGTGGTGGAAACTGGTTAAATCACTCTTTAAATGATTACGTTCCACTAATATTGCAGTTTTGAACGTTGAGAATGGGGTTGAATGATGTGATGTTATTGGAAGGTGCCGCTAATTCAAAAGTCAAATGGAAAAGTTTTTTAATTTTTAAACACATATTCTGATTCGTCGGACCCTGCTGACCACCAATTTGATCTTATTTTTTCGAGTTCATCGAGTTTTCGTGCAGAAAATCTCAACATACTGCGACGGCGTCACAAACCTCGAAAAAGCTATTTTCAGAAAAATCCTGATTATCTCCTGATCTTTTCATTTTTTGATCTCATCAATACGATTTTTGGATTCAGCATCAAGAAGCACATGTAGGCACTTGTCATTCGATTTCTTCAAGACTTAAACTCATGTAGCTGATCAAACACTGATCGCTCGAACCTTGAGGTTCTCACCGCGCAATGCTATCTAGTTTTTTGCCATGAGAGCTAGAGAGTTCTTTCATACGCCAGAAGATTTGCCTTGTCTTGCTCCACAAAAGTATGCTTCGTTTTTTTCAAAACGTTTTTCCTTTCATGAAAAACGTCTCCTGCAGGAGAAATTAGGAAAAGACTGAGAAAGCGCGAGTTTTTCGCAAAATTCTTCAGCTGATGAGCCCATAACTCCTGATATTTCCACTTAGAGCACTGCTATTGTGGTTTTCTAGGTAAAAAGCAATGTTGAATACGTTAGAAATGCGTTTGAGAGCTTTGGAGTTTACCAAGTAGATTTTGCAAAAAACCAGAACTCTGAGAAATCTTCAAGAACCTTTTGGAAATCTTTTTCGTGCCAAGCACATCGTATCCACAGAGCGACAAATTCTGAGCAAAATGAGACCTCCTCGAGCCTTCTAGGGCATCTCTAGGCTGAGATAAGGCCATCTCAGTGATCCGACTTAATCGAAATCCTATAAGAGATTTGCCAACAACTCTGCCTATAAAGTCGCTGGAAAGCCCGAAAAGGTCTCATTTTGCTCAGAACTAGATTCGCATTCAGATGCAATGCCTCTTAAAGAGCCCGTGATGGATGACGAGCTTTATTGAAAAACCGACTCTCTGGAAATCTCTCAGAACCCTTCCGAATCCCATTAATAATAAAGTTCGATACAAAAAGTTGTTTGCACATTGTTGATAGTACAAGTAAAAGTTCAACTACTATCCTTTTCAATGAAAGGTGGACTCCGATATTTTGTTAATGACTTTTGAACGATAAGAGCTAGAGTCCTCCGGTTTTTAGTTTCTTAAATTAGACACCAAGGCACATAGATCTATGAAGTGAC